CTTATAATGCTACCACCGTACTAAGAAAAATAAGATGCATAAAAGATAAACATCACATGCAATCATAATATTTGACATGATATGGCCATCATCATCTTGTGCTTTTGATCTCCATCGTCGAAGCAACGTCATGATCTCCATCGTCACTAGCTTGACACCTTGATCTCCACCGCAGCGTCGTGGTCGTCTCGCCAACCATTGCTTCTACGACTATTGCTACCGCTTAGTGATAAAGTAAATCAATTACATGGTGTTTGTATTTTATACAATAAAGCGACAACCATATGGCTCCTGCCAGTTGCCGATAACTTTTACAAAATATGATCATCTCATACAACAATCTTTATATCACAACATGTCTTGACCATATCACATCACAACATGCCCTGCAAAAACAAGTTAGACGTCCTCTACTTTGTTTGTTGCAAGTTTTATGTGGCTGCTACGAGCTGCTAGCATGAACCGTACATACCTACGGTACAAAAACCACAACGGTGATTTATTAAGTTTGTTGTTTTAACCTTCAGAAGGACCGGCCGCAGTCAAATTCGATTCAACTAAATTTGGAGAAACAGACGCCCGCCAGCCACCCTTATACAAAACTAGTTGCATGTCTGTTGGTGGAACCGGTATCATGAACGCAGTCATGTAAGGTTGGTCCGGGCCGCTTCATCCAATAATAGCGCCGAATGAAAATAAAACATTGGTGGTAAGCAGTATGACGATCACTACCCACAACTCTTTGTGTTCTACTCGTGCATATCATCTATGCATAGACCTGGCTCGGATGCCACTGTTGGGAAACTTAGCATGCAATTTCAAAAAAATTCCTACGCTCACACAAGATCTATCTAGGAGATGCATAGAAACAAGAGGGGGAGAGTGTGTCCACGTACCCTCGTAGACCGAAAGCGGAAGTGTTAACTTAACGTGGTTGATATACTCTAACGTCTTCTCGAATCAACCGATCAAGTGCCAAACGTACGGCACCTCCGAGTTCTACACACGTTCAGCTCGATGACGTCCCTCAAACTCTTGATCCAGTAGAGGCACGAAGGAGTCGATGAGTTCCGTTAGCACGATGGCGTGATGACGGGTTTGGTGAAGTGATCCACGCAGGGCTTCGCCTAAGCACTACAACAATATGACCGGAGTAGTAAGCGGTGGAGGGGGGCACCGCACACGGCTAAACAATTGATGTGCATTGGGGTGCCCCCCGCCCCCGTATATAAAGGAGGAGAGAAGGAGGCCAGCCACAAGGGGCGCGCGCCATGGGGGAGTCCTACTAGGACTCCACTCCTAGTAGGATTCGCCCTGCCCCCCCCCCTCTTTTTCCTTCTTCCGGAGGGGGAAAAGGGGAAGGGAGAGGGAAGAGAAAGAAAGGGGGCGCACCCCCTTCCCTAGTCCAATTCAGACTCCCCATGAGATGGGGGGGCGTCCACTCCTTGTGGGCTGCCTCCCCTCTCTCCTATGGCCCATGTTGGCCCAACAATTCCCCAGGGGGGGGTCCGGTAACCTCCCGGTACTCCGAAAAATATCCGAACTTTTCCGAAACCATTCCGGTGTCTGAACATAACCTTCCAATATATCAATATTTACCTCTCGATCATTTTGAGACTCCTCGTCTTATCCATGATCTCATCCAGGAGTCCGAACAACCTTCGGTCACCAAAACACGACGTTAAGCGTGCGGACCCTACGGGTTCGAGAACTATGTAGACATGACCGAGACATCGCTCCGGTCAATAACCAATAGCGGAACCTGGATGCTCATATTGGTTCCCACATATTCTACAAAGGTCTTTATCGGTCAAACCATAATGTCAACATAGTTATTCCCTTTGTCATCGGTATGTTACTTGCCCGAGATTCGATCGTCGGTATCTTCATACCTAGTTTAATATCGTTACCGGCAAGTCTCTTTTCTCGTTTCGTAATGCATCATCCTGCAACTAACTCATTAGTTGCTTTGCTTGCAAGGCTTCTTATGATGTGCATTACCGAGAGGGCCCAGAGATACCTCCCCGATACTCGAAGTGACAAATCCTAATCTCGATTTATGTCAACCCAACAAACACCTTCGTAGATACCTGTAGAGCATCTTTATAATCACGCAGTTACGTTGTGACATTTGATAGCACACAAGGCATTCCTCCAGTGTCCGGGAGTTGCATAATCTCATAGTCGGAGGAATATATATTTGACACAAAGAAAGCAGTAGCAATAAAATTGAATGATCATTATGCTAAGCTAACGGATGGGTCTTGTCCATCACATCATTCCACTAATGATGTGATCTCGTTATCAAATGACAACTCATGTCTATGGCTAGGAAAATTAACCATCTTTGATCAACAAGATAGTCTAGTAGAGGCATACTAGGGACATGTTGTTTTGTCTATGCATTCACACATGTATCAAGTTTCCGGTTAATACAATTCTAGCATGAATAATAAACATTTATAATGAATAAGGAAATATAAAATAACAACTTTATTATTGCCTCTAGGGCATATTTCCTTCAATTTTTTTGTCTAAAAGTAATGGTCTGCGTCATCATTGACTTTGACAACCACACTATCTCCAATAATAAAATTTTGGATCCACTCGTGCCATTTACTGGAGAATCATCTCATTCTCAGGGTTGTTGAAGGAACGACCATTTGTCCTTATCATAGGCCTTTTTAAGTCAATTTTACAAACTACTCCACTCATGTTTTCCCGGCGCCTCTCGTGAACGGTTTCATGTAGGATTACTACTCCATCAAGTATATTTCTTGTCATCCTTCCACCCCTACTCTTTGTCCTCGCGGTCGACCCCTTGCAGCAGCTCCTTGACATTGCCACAAGTCACAACCTGCTGCAGAAAATTCGAGGGTGTGGATCTACTGTTTGTACCTCCCTGTATGCCGACGATGCAGCGATCTTCATATCCCCTTCATGGGAGATGTGGCAAACCTTACGGCCATCCTTAGTGCCTTTGGAGGGGTCACCGGTCTGTCCACCAACTTTCAAAAGAGCTCTGTTGTCTCAATTCGCTATGGCAACCTAAACCTTGACGACATACTCCACAGTCTGGCTGCCTTGCGAACTTCTTTCCCATTGAAGTACCTGGGTCTCCCATTATCCATCTGGCAGCTGAAAAGGGTGGACTTCCAACACCTTGAGGACAAGGTGGCTACGAAGCTTCCTCCATGGCAAGGGAGAAACATCACCACAATATGCTGGGCGGCCTTGGTCAAATCGGTCCTCACTTCACAAGTCGTCTACCACATCACATCCCTGAACGTTCCCACCGGCGTGCTACAGAATGTCAATATAATTGAGCGTGCTTTCATGTGGTCAGCTCAGAGTCAAACTTTAGGTGCAAAATGCAAGGTCAACTGGGAGACTGTTTGCCGCCCTACGCATCTCGGCGGGCTTGGAGTGCTACAGTTGGGGAAATTTGCAAGAGCTCTAAGGTTGAGATGGCCGTGGGTGGAGTGGAAGGACCCGACTAAACTATGGGTGGGCTTAGGAAACCCATGCTCGGAGGTGGATATGGACCTCTTCTACGCCTCCACCATCATTACTGTGGGAAATGGAGGGAAGACGCCCTTCTGGGAGGCACCATGGTTGAGAGGGGGAAAACCTAAGGATATCGCCCCCCTCATCTTCATGGCCTCCAAGCGAAGGAACTGGGTGGTGAGGGATGCACTGCGAGACAATGCTTGGGTGCGCAAGATCGGTCCTTCCATCAACCTAATGATCAACCATATTGTGGAGTTTGTGGGCCTTTGGGTCCGCTTGGAGCAATTCTAGCTTTCACCGGACATTGATGACGACATATCCTGAAAATTTGAGGCGAACAGTGAGTATTCAGCAGCCTCTGCATATCGGATACAGTTCTTGGGCTCCACGACGATGACCATGAACAAGACTATTTGGAAGGTTTGGACACCTCCCAAGGTCAAGTTCTTCTCTTGGCTAGCGATTCAAAACAGGATATGGACGGCAGATAGATTAGAGAAGCGAGGTTGGGAGAATTGAGGCCTATGCACCCTCTGCAGAAGGGAAAACGAGACGTCCGCGCACCTCTCTTTCGGTGCAGGTTCACCTTGCGCGTATGAAGATTGGTAAAGGAGTGGCTTGGCCTAGCGGCTCTTGAGATCCATCAATGGCAGGCGGAGCGCAGCATCAAACATTAGTGGACAAACATGTCAAAGCCCAATACGGCGAACCAAAAGGCCATGGCTTCCCTTACTATGCTTGTCGGTTGGGCCATCTGGAACGAGAGAAACGCTAGAGTTTTTAGGAAGAAATCAACGCCCCCCTTCTACATTCTAAAACTAATCCAAGATGAAGCAAAAGTTTGAGTCACGACAGGAACTAGGCACCTGAGCATTATCATGCCGCGTTATTTTCCTTTTGTTGACGGACGGGCTATGTTGTGGAGCCACTGTTATGTACTCTAAAACTCTCCTCCTTTATTAATGAATGAGGCAAGTCTTTTGCCTCTGTTTCAAAAAAAGAGTACATTTCTTTCTTTCATGGAAGTCGTTTGAGATGGCATGGTCACAATATGGTGGCCGTGGCTAAGGTTCGGGGTGGGCACAATTCATAAGCGACCACCATTTTGCAGAGAAATAAAGCGATATTGTGTCTACTTTGTTGAATTCCTCAATTTGAAAATACATTCATGAATAAGGCACCTGGTTGCACAAAATAGGAGATGGAAATAAAAGGGGGCTACATGAAGCTTATTCATTTCAAAGGTGTTTAGGCATCACAAATCCACAGTGCAACGACTGGTAAGAATCTGTATCTGTATGGTCTGTCACTAAGCCAAGACTGATCTGAACAAACATCCTGCACTCATGTCTGTATACCATGCAGTGTGATATCCTCAGCTTCCTGCGTGATAGATGAACTTGTAAGCGTAGGATTTCACCAAGCAAGGGCACCAGAACAAAACACGGAGTTATGGGAGCAAAAGGACACATACGATGCATACATCTTGACTAAAGTTCATCTTTAACGGACTCCGATGGAGTCGGTGATGTTACCTCCTCTTCTACAGCATCCATCTGGGTTACTTCTACTGCAGCAGCTTTGGCCCCCCTGTTCTTCTTGATAAAACTGATGATCTCATCGGCTGTCCTTGGACCGTCATACATCAAGAGATCCCCTCCACTAGAAGAATAGAAGTACAGCGCTGGGTATCCCTCGACCGCAAAGTCTGTCGGGACATCGTTCGCAGTACCATCCTGCAAAACCAGAGGTCTCAGACGTTTATAATGCCTAAGAAGATGCTCTACCACAGAAGTGCGGAATCAGTTGCAATTTCTTTGGAATAATCAACTGAAAAGTGGACTACCATCTTCGCTATGACTACATCTTCATCGTCTTGCAACGAGATAGCAACTTCCTCCAGAATCGGGGCCAACTTCCGGCAATGACCGCACCAAGGTGCATAGAACTCGAGTAGAACTACAAGAAGTGCCATGCGGTGAATTCATTAGACAAGCTTCACCACAGGATAAATAACTAAAAGCTGAATGCAACCACTGGTATAATTCAGCTCAGCCAGTGAGTTGAGGTGACATGAACGAACCATTTTTGCCAGAGTTAAAAACAATTTCATCAATATTGTCAGCCACGACAACTTTAACAGGTTGATCATTCACCTTAGGAATTGGCTCTGACTTAACATAAGGTGTTAAGTTGCCATACTGTATGAAAAAGTAGATGATTAGGAAATGATTTGACAAAAGAGTACTATGAAACTGCATAGTAGACTAGGCCTCAACTATATACTGCTTCATCCAGGGTATGAGCTGGTCAGGCTCCATGGTTGGATTGAGATATTTTCCAGTAGATGCTAGCACGAGGAGGAGGGGAACATCACTTTCTTTGAGCCCGAAATACTGAAAAGTTTCGCATGGATGCTAATCAGTGGATTAGTTCTAGGAATTCTTAACAAAAATGACGAGAAGCTAGTAAGAGTAACGACCTCGAAGGCACGGTCTGCGGTTGAAACATCACCAATCAGAAAACTGATGTTATTACCGCTGAGCTGCCTGGCTGCTTCATGCATCTGGCTCTTGAAGGTCTCAACTCTGTCGTCACTGAAGCGCAAGAAAAGCATTGCCTGTCCAATCATGTATCAAAGTTATTTCATGTTTTATGAAACAACTGAAAAGAGTGAATGCGCTCATGCAATCTCAAATGTTGGTCCTATGTTGATATAATGATGTAGGTAAAGAATTGAGCTAAAGTTACTAAATGTTCAACTCTTCCATCCCATACAAGTGAAGCCGAGACTGCAAGTACTGAAGAACAAACAAGATCTGAGGGCAATTGCTGTTTACTCACTTTGGCACTAGGCGTGCTGTAGTATCTTTCAATAAACTTATGGTTGGTCGGGTCTGCATCGAAGGTAACTACAGTAGGGAAACCAGACACCTCAATAAACTTCTTGATTGCATCATCATCAAAATCCTGAAAATTATAGATGGCTGGTGTTTTAGTGTACAAGCAGAAGCACACCCACGAGAATGAAGTGACCAGCAATGAAAAGGTGCACATTAAGAAAGATATTTACTTGTGAATCGACAAACAGCTCATCGAATGGCTTAAAGAGTCGAAGAAGGGGGCCCTTGACGGTCAGATCACCACGTGGCAGAATGCTCGCATCCGATGTGTGAAAGAAATCATAGTCTGTTCGCATCTTGTTTGCCACGGCCATAAAATTCTCATACTCAATACCAGCAAACTCAGGAAATACACCCACCTGCAAGACAATTTTCAGACAAGAACAACACACCCATTGATCTCCATTCTTCAAGAGATTAAGGAAAGAGAGGTCAACTGCACAAATGCGGTAGGATGTAGGAACTTACAAGGACCACCCCCCCTTTGTCACCGATGGAGCGTGAGGCATCCACTGCAGACCTGATCTCGAGAGATGCTGGGCCGACCTGCCTCGTGAGGTACTCCACGATACCCTCCGCGTCCCTCGGGCCACCATAGGCGCTCAAGTCGCTCCCTCCTTTCCTGATGATCTTGATGGCCGGATACCCATGTACCTTGTACTTGTCCTTGAGCTCCTTGTTGCTCTCGTCATACGCATCCACCTTCGCGAGCACCACTGGAGGGTCGCGCTTCCTCAGCATGGAGGCTGCCTTCTCGTACTGCATGCATCATATCACACGTACACATATAAATGGCATCGACAAACGTACGTCTCAGTGTCTCAGTGTTGCATCTTTCATTTATTTATTTTTGAAAGAGAGTGTTGCATCTTTCATGGTAAGACAGACTACTTGTTAAGGAAATGACTAACCTCTGGAGCGAGCTCCTTGCAGTGGCCACACCTGCGATGGTCATCAGTTAGACACTGTTTTGGGACTTGGGGTGAGTCAGAGCATAGCTGCTTAAGGAGTAACATACCATGGCGCGTAGAACTCGACGACTATGAACTCGTGCTTGGCCACCACCTCTGAGAAGTTGCCTGCGTCAAGTGTCAGGACCGCCTCTCCAAGCACAGCTGTGGCATCCACCTCGGCCGCGATGGGGCCGGAGCAGAGCAGAAGGACCACGACGAGGGTGGCAAAAGGGAGTGCCAGGGGAACGTCCATTGCTTAAGCTGTAACTAAGTCACCTCTCAGGATTTCCGTCAGAGGATGACATGCCTACCAGGTTAATATAGGTGAAGATGAGAAGGGTGTTCCTCTTCCAAAAAGAAAAGATGAGAAGGGGTGTTGCACTTGCAGGGATCTCGAGGAAGTCAATTGGGGCTTGTTTGCTAGCTTCTCTTCGACTCATGCTCCTGAACTTTGCTTACAAATGACAATACTGAGTCTCTTTACTTCCATTTTTCTACTTTCAGTTAGTAAACAACTACATAGCTGATAGCAGATGGCTAGTTTTTCTCAGTTATTTTATAACTGGAAGTCAGCTGTAAAATCTGCACACTGCATGCATAGTTGTGTCTGCAAGTAGCATTTCACCTTTACACACCGAGTCCAAAATAAGTAATCATCATGGCATAGCCACTGTCAAGTTGTCAGCACGCAGCACTTTGTAAGAGTTTCAGTCTTCAGATCCACAACTCAGATCAGAAAAGTCCTTCATGCTTTCACCCCAAGCAAAACTGCTGCACTAGCAACAGAATGGATCACTTAGAATCATTTTGCCATTTTTCTTTTCATCACCAGGTTCTGCATCATCCATGATCTTCCAACCTGCAAAGTGTATCAAGCCTTCTAGTTCTAGCCACAGGCTTCAGAGCTGTAATTCATCAGGCCATCAGCATTTTCAGCATCTACATTCACCCTACTCATCTGCATCTGAATGATTCTCAAGGTATCATGTATCTCATTCCTGCAGGGATGTCCGTTATCTCGTGCGAGAAACACACTCACTTGCCTGCCTATCTCAATCCAACTACAGCCAGGCTGCTTAATGACACCTCTGCTCTTCATGGATCTCCTCACTCTATATACATCTGCCCATTTCCCCAACTCAGCGTACATATTCGAGAGAAGAACGTAGGGTCCAGAGTTCTCAGGATCAAGCTCAAACAACTTCCCAGCTGCCAGTTCTCCCATCTCAATATTCTTATGTAGCCTACAAGAACCTAGCAGAGAAGCCCAGAGCACGCTGTCAGGTTCCATTGGCATCTCCTTTATGAGCTCCTCAACTTCTTTTAGATGACCGGCACGACCAAGCAAATCAATCATACATGTGTAGTGATCTTGAGATGGAGTTATCCCATGATCCTCAGTCATGGACCGAAAGTATCTCCGGCCCTCCTCCACTAATCCAGAATGGCCACAGGCTGACAGAACACCAATCATGGTGACAGAATCTGGGCTCTCTTTGCTGCACAGCATTCTCTCAAAAAGATGCAGTGCTTCTTTTGCACGGCCGTTCTGTGCATGACCGACAATCATGGCATTCCACGACACAGTATCTCTGGCTGCCATCCTCTCGAACACCTTCACACCATCATCAATTGATCCTGTCTTCAGGTACATGTCTACAAGGGAATTCCCAACAAACACATCAGACTCTGGTCCAAAGTCGAAGCGAAAACCTTCCTTGAGGACATGCACATGAGCTTGCTGACCAAGCTGAAGATCAGCAACATTGCCACATGCATTGAGAACATTTCCGTATGTGTAATGTGTTGGCCAAACTGACTCTCTTTTCAGCCTGACAAAGAGCCTAAGTGCCTCCTCCTCCTCGCCGTTCTGTGCATATGCTGCAATGAGCACATTCCAAGCAATGACATTCTTCTCGACCATCTGCGAGAACACCACCTGAGCATCTTCCACATTAGCAGACCTTGCGTACCCAGTGATGAGTGATGTTTCAGAGACAACACTCCTGGAAGCCATGCGGTCAAACACACACCTCGCCTCCCATGTCCTCCCACATTTGGCGTACATGTCCACCAGAGCGTTGCTCAACACCATGTCCTCCCTAAACCTATCGGATTTCACCACGCATGCATGAACCTGCCGTCCTTCGCTATCCGCAGCAAGGCCCGCACACGCACTCATGACACTTGCAAGTGTCACCTCATCAGGCACAAGACCGGCATTCATCATCCTGACAAACAGTACCAGTGCCTCACCCACAGGGCCGTTCTGCTCATAGCAAGTGATCAAGCTGTTCCAGGAAACGACATTCCGCTCCGGCATTGCCTCGAACACCCTCTGTGCCTCCTCCGGCCCCTCGCACTTGGCATACATGTCCAAGAGCGCACTACCAATATACACGTCCTTGGCATGCGGCGACTTGGAAACAAGGGCATGCACCTGCACCCCGGCCCTCGGATCCTTCTCCACGGCACAGGCGCTCAGGGCGCTCGCAAAGGAGTAGGCATTGAGCACGAAGTCGTCGGCGTGCATGGCGGCGAAAAACAGGAGGGCGTCGGCGCCGCGGCTGTGCTGCGCGAGCGCGGCGATGACCGCGTTGTAGGAGCACTGGTCCGGGTCGGGGATGGCGTCGAAGAGAGCACGGACGTCGGCGGGGTTGCCAAGGCGCGCGTGCGCGGAGAGGAGGGCGTTGTAGGAGAAGGTGTTGGGCCGGGGGATATCGTCGAACACCCTGCGCGCGTCGGGGAGGCGGCCGAGCCGCGCGTAGGCGGAGACGAGGGTGTTGAGGAGGAAAGTCTCGTCCGCGAAGGGCGACTTGAGGGCGCGCGCGTGCGCTGCGCGGGCGGCGGGCAGGCTTGGCGCGGAGCGGAGGAGGTCGGCGAGCGGCGCGGAGGCTCGGAGGTGGGAGACGAAGTGGTGGTGGTGGTGTCGCGCCATGCCAACAGGCGCGCCCCAGGTGCCTCCGTGTGAAAATTCAATGGTGGCAGAAGGCGGCGGTGTCCTCGTCGTTGCCAGCAGAACGAACTGAGGAACAAGGGCAATACTGAATGCGCGCCACAACACCAGGATTGTTCGGAGAGGCAAATACTCTTCCTTTTTTGCTGAGTCTAGGCAAATACTATTCCTGATTGCCATGTTTTGAAGTGGATTTTAATATATATTTTTGTTCACTCCCTGCAAAAGAATACACAAAATTCCTGCCAAATGTTCTTGTCTCTCTCTCTCTTTTTTGACAACTAAATTTTCCTCTTTATTCACATGTGATAACACTTACCTCTTTTAGTATCGGAGAAAGTAAAGCATTTGCAGCAACACCTAACCACTCATTCCAAAAGCTGATTCTAGCAGCACTGCGCTAATTCATGTCCAACACCATTTGCCTCTCGTTTTTTGCATGGGCAGCAAGCAGGGGTTTTTTGCAGTCCTTGACGACAACGGGTATAAAGAAAAGGCTCTCGTTTTTTGGGTACCAAGCCAGAACCGATGGATCTTGCAATCTGCAAAAGGATTTTTGATATCTTTGATGAGGCGTCGGGCTTGCGCATAAACATAAGGAAGTCCGTTGCACTCCCGATACGGTGCTCGGAACAATGCATCCCTATGGTGAGTGAGGAGCTTGGCTGTCCAGCGGGATCATTCCCGGTGCGTTACCTTGGACTGTCGTTGTCCGTAAGAAAGCAATCAGCGACACAATTGCAGTATCTGCTGGATCAGATGGCGAACCAGCTGCCAAAGTGGAAGGCTTCCCTCATGCCTAAAAGTGGTAGGCTTACATTGGTGCAATCTGTTCTATGTGCGATGCCCATACTGAAGGAAATATGCCCTAGAGGCAATAATAAAGTTATTATTTATTTCCTTATATCATGATAAATGTTTATTATTCATGCTAGAATTGTATTAACCGGAAACATGATACATGTGTGAATACATAGACAAACTAAGTGTCACTAGTATGCCTCTACTTGACTAGCTCGTTTATCAAAGATGGTTATGTTTCTTGACCATGGACAAAAGAATTGTCATTTGATTAACGGGATCACATCATTAGAAGAATGATGTGATTGACTTGACCCATTCCGTTAGCTTAGCACTTGATCATTTAGTATGTTGCTACTGTTTTCTTCATGACTTATACATGTTCCTGTGACTATGAGATTATGCAACTCCCGTTTATCGGAGGAACACTTTGTATGCTACCAAACGTCACAACGTAACTGAGTGATTATAAAGGTGCTCTACAGGTGTCTCCAAATGTACTTGTTGGGTTGGCGTATTTCGAGATTAGGATTTGTCACTCGATTGTCGAAGAGGTATCTCTGGGCCCACTCAGTAATGCACATCACTATAAGCCTTGCAAGCATTGCAACTAATTAGTTAGTTGTAGGATGATGTATTACGGAACGAGTAAAGAGACTTGTCGGTACCGAGATTAAACTAGGTATTGAGATACCGACGATCGAATCTCGGGCAAGTAACATACCGATGACAAAGGGAACAACATATGTTGTTATGCGGTTTGACCGATAAAGATCTTCGTAGAATATGTGGGAGCCAATATGAGCATCCAGGTTCCGCTATTGGTTATTGACCGGAGACGTGTCTCGGTCATGTCTACATAGTTCTCGAACCCGTAGGGTCTGCACGCTTAAAGTTCGATGACGGTTATATTATGAGTTTATGTGTACCGAAGGTAGTTTGGAGTCCCGTATGAGATCGGGGACATGACGAGGAGTCTCAAAATGGTCGAGACGTAAAGATCAATATATTGGATGACTATATTCGGACTTCGGAAAGGTTCCGAGTGATTCGGGTATTTTTCGGAGTACCGGAGAGTTACGGGAATTCGTAGTGGGCCTTAATGGGCCATACGGGAAAGGAGAGAAAGGCCTCAAAGGGTGGCCGCACCCCTCCCCATGGACTGGTCCGAATTGGACTAGGGAGGGGGGCTCCCCCTTCCTTCCTTCTCCTTCTCCCTTCCCTTTTTCCTACTCCAACTTGGAAGGGGGGGGATCCTACTCCCGGTGGGAGTAGGACTCCCCTATGGCGCGCCCAAGAGAGGGCCGGCCCTCCCCTCCTCTACTCCTTTATATACGGGAAGGGGGGCACCCCATGGAGACACAACAATTGATCCCTTGGATCTTTTGGCCGTGTGCGGTGCCCCCCTCCACCATAATCCACCTCGATAATATCGTAGCGGTGCTTAGGCGAAGCCCTACGTCGGTAGAACATCATCATCATCACCACGTCGTCGTGCTGATGGAACTCTCCCTCGACACTCAGCTGGATCGGAGTTCGAGGGACGTCATCGAGTTGTACGTGTGCAAGAACTCGGAGGTGTCGTTCTTTCGGTGCTTGATCGGTTGGGCCGTGAAGACGTACGACTACATCAACCGCGTTGTGCTAACGCTTCCGCTTTTGGTCTACAAGGGTACATGGACAGACTCTCCCATCTCGTTGCTATGCATCACCATGATCTTGTGTGTGCGTATGATTTTTTTTAAATTACTACGTTCCCCAACACTGGCATCCGAGCCTGGTTTTATGCGTAGATGTTATATGCACGAGTGGAACACAAGTGAGTTGTGGGTGATACAAGTCATACTGCTTACCAGCATATCATACTTTGGTTCGGCGGTATTGTTGGATGAAGCCGCCCAGACCGATATTATGCGTATGCTTACGCGAGACTGGTTCTACCGACGTGCTTTGCACATAGGTGGCTGGCGGGTGTCAGTTTCTCCAACTTTAGTTGAACCGAGTGTGGCTACGCCCGGTCCTTGAGAAGGTTAAAACATCACTAACTTGATGAACTATCGTTGTGGTTTTTATGCGTAGGTAAGAACGGTTCTTGCTCAGCCCGTAGCAGCCACGTAAAACTTGCAACAACAAAGTAGAGGACGTCTAACTTGTTTTTGCAGGGCATGTTGTGATGTGATATGGTCAAGACGTGATGCTATATTTTATTGTATGAGATGATCATGTTTTGTAACAAAGTTACAGGCAACTGGCAGGAGCCATATGGTTGTCGCTTTATTGTACGCAATGCAATCGCCCTGTAATTGCTTTACTTTATCACTAAGCGGTAGCGATAGTTGTAGAAGCAATAGATGGCGAAATGACAACGATGCTACGATGAAGATCAAGGTGTCGCGCCGGTGACGATGGTGATCATGACGGTGCTTCGGAGATGGTGATCACAAGCACAAGATGATGATGACCATATCATATCACTTATATTGATTACATGTGATGTTTATCCTTTATGCATCTTATTTTGCTTTGATTGACGGTAGCATTATAAGATGATCCCTCACTAAATTTCAAGGTATAAGTGTTCTCCCTGAGTATGCACCGTTGCGAAAGTTCTTCGTGTTGAGACACCACGTGATGATCGGATGTGATAGGCTCTACGTTCAAATACAACGGGTGCAAAACAGTTGCACACGCGGAATACTCAGGTTAAACTTGACCAGCCTAGCATATACATATATGGCCTCGGAACACTGAGACCGAAAGGTCGAGCGTGAATCATATAGTAGATATGATCAACATAGTGATGTTCACCATTGAAAACTACTCCATCTCACGTGATGATCGGACATGGTTTAGTTGATTTGGATCACATGATCACTTAGATGATTAGAGTGATGTCTATCTAAGTGGGAGTTCTTAAGTAATATGATTAATTGAACTTTAATTTATCATGAACTTAGTACTGGTAGTATTTTGCAAATTATGTTGTAGATCAATAGCTCGCGTTGTTGCTTCCCTATGTTTTTATATGTGTTCCTAGAGAAAACTAAGTTGAAAGATGTTAGTAGCAATGATGCGGACTTGGTCCGTGATCTGAGGTTTATCCTCATTGCTGCACAGAAGAATTATGTCCTTGATGCACCGGTAGGTGACAGACCTATTGCAGAAGAAAATGCAGACATTATGAACATTTGGCTAGCTCAATATGATGACTACTTGATAGTTTTGTGCACCATGCTTTATGGCTTAGAACCGGGACTACAAAAACGTTTTTGAAACGTCACGGAACATATGAGATGTTCCATGAGATGAAATTGATATTTCAGACTCATGCCCGTGTCAAGAGGTATGAGACCTCTGACAAATACTTCGCCTAAAAGATGGAGGAGAATTGATCAACTAGTGAGCAAGTGCTTAGATTGTCTGAGTACTACAATCACTTGAATCAAGTGCGAGTTAATCTTCTAGATAAGATAGTGATTGACAGAGTTCTCTAGTCACCATCACTAAGTTACTATAACTTCGTGATGATCTATAGTATGCAAGGGATGACGAAAATGATTCCCGAGCTCTTCGTGATGCTGAAATCAACGAAGGTAGAAATCAAGAAAAAGCATCAAGTGTTGATGATTAAACAAGATCACTAGTTTCAAGTAAAGGCAAAAGGAAAAGAAAGGGAACTTCAAGTAGAATGGCAAGCAAGTTGTCACTCTCGTGAAGAAGCCCAAAAGCTGGACCAAAGCCTGAAACTAAGTGCTTCTACTGCAAAGGAAATGGTCACTGGAGGTGGAAATGCCCTGAATATTTGGTGGATAAGAAGGATGGCAAAGTGAACAAGGGTATATTTGATATACAGGTTATTGATGTGTACCTTACTAGTGTTTATAGTAGCCCCTGAGTATTTGATACTTGTTCGGTTGCTAAGATTAGTAACTCGAAATAGGAGTTATAGAATAAACAGAAACTAGTTGAGGGTGAAGTGACGATGTGTGTTGGAAGTGGTTCCAAGATTGATATGATCATCATCGCACACTCCCTATACTTTTGGGATTAGTGTTGAAACTAAATAAATGTTATTTGGCGTTTGCGTTGAGCATGAGTGTGATTTGATCATGTTTATTGCAATACGGTAGAGAATAAAACCTTCGATGGTCATACACCCAATGAAAATAGTTTGTTGGATCTCAATCGTAGTGATACACATATTCATAATATTGATGCCAAAAGATGCAAAGTTGATAATGATAGTGCAAGTTATATGTGGCACTGCCGTTTGGGTCATATCAGTGTAAATCGCATGAAGAAACTCCATAAAGATGGATTTTTGGAATCACTTGGTTATGAATCATTTGATGCTTGCGAACCGTGCCTTTTGGGCAAGA